AATCTGGAAAGCAACAGAAAACAGCCAGGCTTATTTTACTCCTCTGTTCTAGCCCCAAATAAGCGATACAGAGGATGGACTAAAGACTCTCATCATGCATGTTAGATCAATGTTATGTATTGCATTAATTTGTTTAGTTTATCTATTTGACATGGTCACAAGAGATCTACTAGATCTCTTTCTTGAGAGAGTCCTGCGCACCATAGTTATGTTGCATAAACCAACACAGACAGAAGAGGAAGAAATAAAATAGGGAAAACATTTACAAAAATAATTGATGGCTGCCTGTAATAAAATGTGTATTAAAATTTCTTTTAGCATTTATTTATTTATACCATACATTTTCACAATGATAGTCTGTTGAGATCTACATCTCATTTATTTATTTGATCATAAATAATCAATACCAACTGTTGATGAAAAAGAAAAGGAAAAAGAAAAGGAAGACCAATGAAAGAGGAAACATGTATAAAATATTTCAGTAAAAATCTATGGCTGCCTGGAGTGGTTGGAAAGTTCCATTTGAATTTGTAAACACATACATTAAAACTGGACAGTTTCTTGATTGGAAACCAATGGATGCCTGCAAGAGAAGAAAAATGTTCCATATTTCTAAAGCACAGTAGCAAGAACAACCACACATTTCACTGGTGGTCTCTTATGATCTTTCTTTATTAATTAGCATCCGGGCCAAAATGTCGGCATGACATATATTTCCCAAAACAAAACAAACACTACCACACGTAAAAAAAAAAAAGACTAAAGGAAAGGAAAGAGGCTAAAGAAAAGGGGGAAAAAATAACACCATGGTAGCATTGTATCAGCTTGGCATAGATGGACCGTCGAGGACATGGCTCTAAGCTCTGATAAGATGATGCAACTCCTCTGTGCTCTTACATCATGCACAGCACCTACCTAGCCATCAAAGAGTTAACCCCTTGAACCCTGAGCATATAAATGCAATAATGCATAGATCATTAAACACATGTTAGCCACGCATGCAGTTATTCCACAGCCCCTTCATAATCCTGCAGCCTTCATTTTCTGTGCATGTCTTTATTTTAATACACTCCCCTACTCTCTACCCCCCACCCCCAACCTAAGTGGCAGGTGGGACATAAAATGTTGGGAGGTCCTGAGCTCAGGACATCAAAAGGATGCATCATGGGTGAGTCACCCCCACCGGCTCCAGATCACTGCCCTGCATCATGAAAACAGTGCGGCTGTGCATAAAACACTGGTTGGCGGCGAGGAGGATGGAAAGCGGCATACGACCGGTCACAGAGGAATGTAATCAAAAGCTTTTTATTATGTTTCTCAGATTGGCCACAGGACTCTGCGGCCCTTACCTCACAAGTCATTCCTCTCAGTCACTGTATGTGTGATGCACGCCAGCTTTGATTTTGAGAGTGTGTGTGTGTTCAGATGAGTGTACGCGCATTCCTCTCATTCGTTACACGAGTGTGCTGCATGCCTGCATGCTTTTAAATGTTGTTCGGTGAGAGAATGCCTGGACTGTCCTTTGTAGAATTTGTCATATGACCATAGCAATGTGTTTTCAAGTTTTAACTCTTTAACTTCGAAGCATGTACAGAGATCTGAAGTTAAAGTGAAACGTCCGGGGTCTGTACCAGAAATAATAAAAACTCTTTCAAAATCAAGTCAAATGATAGGGTTAGGGATATATAACCTTTTGGTAGAAAACATTTTTAGCCGAAGACTGTAAGCCCAACGTTAAAGGGCAAGGTATGCTTGAAAAGAAATAGTTAACATGTTATACAATTGTACGTTTGACAGTGTTTATACCTGGGGACAAGACATAACAGTTGTTCAAATAGGGAGAATGGCGAACACTGTCTGATGGTCTCTGCTCAAAGGAATTCATATTGTTGCACTTGTTAAAAAAGTGATGGAAGTAGTTATGTGAAGAATGAAAAAAGGAGCTTGAAAGAGAAGTTCAGATCCTGCTTACTTTAACACATACACACATCTGACCGATCACTGCATAAAGTGGGTTTTAAGATTATTCCAGTGTGTTTCCATTGAAAAACAACTTTTCTTTGAAGCAATTTCCAGCAAGTGTTAGTGTCTTCAATATGAATTACAATAAAGAAAAATAAAGGTTGATTCTAGAAAACGTATCACAGCAGATTTTAAGAAAACAAGAATTTGCTTTATTCTGTAATGGGAGGACAGTTAAAGTACAGGGTGATGTAGTGGTGTGATTTTTATACCATATGGTAATGAATGGCTGTCAGGATCGATAATAACTAAAAACTACAGGAAAGTTTCTCAATGTTTAATATAGTCTACATGATTCGCGTCTAAAAGCACTGATTGTCCCTCAGGATGTACAGTTTGACATGTTTTAGGTCAACACAGTTGAAATTAATTATCCTACTCACATGCAGGCGGGATACATTTTGTCAAGCTGAGTCATTTTTTGGAGCAAAGGTCTTGGCCAAACCTCAGACCATCCTCCTTCCATTTTCCTTCATCATTTTTGGGATTGTTTTAATGGTGAATAGATCTTTTGAGATAACAGAGGATATGAATCACAAACATGTGACACACCCGTCTCTGATATTCATTAAGGACTGCTGATCATATTTTCCACCCTCAACCTCCAAGATGTTAGTCATTAAACAAATGCCATGCAGTTTAGAGAGAACAGAAAGTAAAGGTGAGGGCAGGGTAAGAACTGAAGCAATGATACTGAATAAGACAAGATGCAAGTCGACAGAAGATTGACCATATCCTCTCAGGCATAACCTAAGTATTTGGAGAAGTATTTCAAGGGAACATTTCAGGAGTAAGTGATAATTTGCTGGTCACATTTCATGGCAAGCTGAGGGAGCTGTGAAAGCTCTACCAAGTTAAGAAATTAGGGAAAGGGGGAGACTAAGGCGTAATGCTCAATTACGATTTTTTTCCCTAGATCCGATTTTTTTTTTGACAGTTCACATTTAAATGTGGCCCATATCAGACTCCTGTTCATGGACTGAAAGAGGCCGCATGCGCAGAAGAATAAACAGCACCCTGTCGTACAGAAGTAAACAAGGAGCCACAGAGGTTAGCTCCAGTTAGCCTCGGTTAGCTCCTACTTGCTAAATCTCCCAATTTTTTCCCGTATTTCATTGCCCTCTCACGGTTAATTCCCAGGGTCACGTCTATCCTGAATTATGACAAATGTTCACAACTTTCTGTCCTTTCCATGACATTAATTATTCAATATTACCTGTTATATTGTGACAAAATAAATCTACCTACAAACCTGCCTACCTTCATTACTGTTTCTGGTGCTGCACAATGTCTATGCCCCACAACTCTCTCTCTCTCTCTCTCACGCTCCACCACATCCGCTCGAATAAGTAGCATGCACGTACCTCAGAAGAGAGAGTCGCATCAATTCCCCACTGGATTTCCCATTTGGACGACATATGAAAGTGGTGTCACTTTAAGATTACTGGTTTTGGTACTGGTATCGTAAAATTTTAAACGATACCCAACCCTAACCATGACTGAATGTCTGTGCCACTTTGACATAACACCTCCCTGTTTCTGCATATCCACACTAGGCAGACCGTTTCAGGCATGCACATACACTACTCTTCCACAAATGCCATGAATTGCCATGGAGAGCAGAGGAGGGCGACACAGCGGGAAAGACAGAGCAAGCGAGCATAAGCGTTTAGACAGTACCATTTATAAAGCATGGCCCTCTGCCTGTCTCATAAACTGCATTATTCTGGGAAGGCAGGAAATCGGCTGGACTTCAGGAGAGAAGGAGACAGAGTGAGAGACAAAGAAAGAAATACATAGCCCTTTTCTCTCCACATTTCTTCTCTTTCCAGTGTTTCCTTTCTCAACTACCTTCAATGCCATTGGAGTATTTCACCATAATTTCTCTTCTAATCTTACACAGGAGTCATATGAATCCAGAGTTTGGCCGTAGTCTGTGACTACATGGAAATACACACCCTGCAAAAATATTATTTAATCCAAAGTAATATGCTGGATTACAACAAATAAATCTGGCAATGAGATAAGCAAAAATTACAATTGTACATGTTTTACAAGGTCTTAAGGTTTTCTGGGCATATCCTGTTAGATTTGCCATCATCTTGAACATCTAGGGATCCCCCAAGAGGGGGATCTATCTTTATCTATTATCTTGAGGACATGGCTATTGTGAAGGATGTCTGCGCTATCTAGGCGTCAGTATACTACAACAAAAGTACATGGATGGTTAAACAGCATTTTATACTTCCTCTCATCACATCTTTCTGATTTTGTAAGGGGGCTGAATCCGCCAAATTCTTTTTGAAGTTGACTTTATGAAGCCCGACAATCTGACAATTATTTCCTCTTTACGCAGTGATTGGCCAGGTGTGAGGAGGTGAGGAAAGTAAGCAGGGTTGTCTATATGACAGAATCTTTGAAAATGTGCACCGTTATCCCATCATGCTTTTCTTAATGATTTTCCACCCGACCTTTGAATGTGGCCGTTTGGACCAGCTATAAACACTTTTCCCTTCTGGCGTGGTTGGGCGACCAGTTCTTTTTGAGAATACCCTGGCCTTAAGCTGGCTTCCACCACAACCTGGACCCGTTGTAGGAGTTGTAGGAAAAGGACATATGAATGGATGGATGAACTGCCCTTTCTGCAGTACAGGACCTTCTCTGAAAAATAGAAGCACAATGCAAAAAAATGTCTACTAAAAGTTGTGTCTTCTTGAAACTTGGGCTGGATATCAATTGACATTTTTAATGAGAACCTGAACAATGAATCTGACCCATATGATGCTAACTTTCAGAACCCTACACCTTTCTGTACTCAGTGTTAGAGACACATATAGATAGGTACCAAAAAGAGTATTACATTTCATAAGTTCCATACTCAACCTTGTATAAAGCGCATGACATTTTTTATTCAAAATGGATGTCAGTATTATCAATGGCAGCACACAGATGTAATGGATTCACAAAGCACGACTCTAGGAGGTTCACAAAAATAAACAGTTTATTGAACCTAATCCAAAAGGTTTCAGGCAGCAGTACCAAAATCACAAGGCTGGAGTGGTAATCAAAAACGGACGAGACGCTGACACAAGGAATCAAGATGACCTGGCACAGGCACCAAGGGGACAAGGGAATTTTTACACTAGGGCAGGGGAGACAACGAGGCACAGGTGGAGCACATTAGGGCAGGGACTGGTAATCACACAGGGCAGGAGGGAAGACAAAGACCTGAAAGGGAGACAAGATGATCAATACCAAGTAAACAGTAAGTGGTTGCAGACTTACTGTTCAAAAAACTGAACACATAACCTTACCAAGTATTTTTCACTTGCTCTAAGAAAACAAGATTTTAGTGGGATTTGACTGTCAATGGTGGAGTGAAGCGTTGAAATGCACTGCACTGTCACTGTGCCTGATAATAAAGCCACGTTAATGTATGAATATGACAGAATGCCGGGGAAAGAGAAGGACAGCTGATCTCTCGTTATTACTTTCCCGCTTTCTTTCGTTCCATGCCAGTTTCCTTCGTCTTCCCCCAGTGCACCAGGAGGTCTATGTTTAGACAGGATAGAGTTCTCCAGGGTCAACATGGGGAAAGCTCTGTCTCGTCTCTTCTTGGTGAATGTGTCAGTGGAGAGAGTTATAAGCCCTGCTCTCCCCACCACCCCCACCTACTCCTTGGCAAGTGGCAGTCAGTCAGCTGATTTGTGCTGCTGAGGGGATTTGGTGTTCCACGTAGGCTATTTAAAAACACCTTCCATCTCCCTCTCTCTCTTTTCCACTCACTCACTTTTTCACTATCTCATGCACTGGCACTCTTACAACCACATAACATACCCCTCACCCATTCCCCTGTATTGCTCTCTGTACTCCCTTCCCCCATCTCCCTTCTTTTCAATTTGTCTTTTTTTTCTGCTCCCTCCTGCCTCTACGCCTATTGCTCCACTTATTCCCGCTACTGTATCTCTCTCTGTGACTCTAGGACTTCAGTTTCACAAATCTTCTGATGGGGGATGTGGACAATTTAAAGTGTCAGGTTGAAAGCCAGATTTATGCCTCTCTGTCATATAAGAATTGAGTTATGTTCAGTCTTGGATTTACCCTAGTAATTGTCAGACATTCTCGTATCTACAGGACAATGTAGGTAGTGCCTTCTTAAGCTATCTGCGCGTCTAACATATGCTTAATATTTTTGCATAGTAAGCTTAATGGCTGGTTGCATTTAAGAGACTAAATGTGCATGGTGAAGAGAAGACTGCATTCATGTTTAAAAGAAACTGTTGGTCAGAAAAAAAAGAAAAGGAACATGAGCCACAGTCTCACTTGTCAAAGACTCACGTTTATCCATAAAAGTGGTACACATATTGGCCGTTGATGCCCATAAAGCACATTAGACATACATACAGAAGAAGTAGTCTATTAACTGTAGCCGGGATTCGCTAAATCAGGGAGGAAATGTGAAAGGATTGCTGCTTTTATGGAGAAATAATGCACACTCACTCTGGGGAAGAGGACGGTGCCATATCCTTACAAGTTGACGCAACTGTCAATCTGCAATGATCAAAACGCTGCTGGTGTGAGGGGGTCTCATAGAAAATAATGGGTGTGGGTGCCTTTTTGCAGTGGTACAAGGCGTCATTCAGACAGACAGTACTAAAACACTCTAAATTTCAATGAGGCCACTGCATTGGCACAATGTGGCCCCCATCACGGAGGGCTTCACCAAAACATGCATGGTCACCTGTCAAAAAACAGGCTTTACTTTTGCCGCAACACAGTTGTCAAATGTTGTCAAACAATCTACTGTGTGTAGATGACTTTGTAACGTTGTTGCCACATTTCTACTGTTGCCCCCCAAACACCAGAACCAAGGATAAAATGGCATTGGGGTAACTTTCCAGAGTTGCTAAATCCTGCCTTATAGTATTACAAACCTTTGTGCAGCAGTCTGATGTTTGATAAGACTTCAAACTCGTGAATCTACAGTATTACTCAAATCCTCCTCACATCCTGAATCATATTTACAGTAATCTCCTCATCTGTACGTGTAGCAACATGCCCACACCAGCGCACATTCAGTGCTATTTTCGGTCTGACCATTCGCCTGTAACATTACATTATTTCTGCCTTTGTTACTGTTGGAGGATAATCATTCACATGACCACAAGATGTTGCTTGTCAGGGAAATGTAAACCTAGGTCATTTTAAGCTTTTAAACTAACGACAAATGCTATTCTGATAAGGTGGGTGTAAATTTAGAACCAGCGAAACACCAGATATATGTCATACATTATCACGCCATGTCTTTAGCATAGACATCAAGTTAATATTTATTTTTTTATTCAATCCATGATATAGAGAGGGATGTGAGAACTGAGAAATGGGAGAGAAAGGGGTTAGACAGGCTTATATACATATGTGCATGTGATTGAATGAGGCACAGGTGGTCGAATTAGTAAGAGAGAGGTGTGGTCCTGTTACTGAACTTTAGTTATATAACTCCATTTAACAGCAATGTTTGACTTTGACAAAATGTACATTGGTCTTGTGTTACTGAAACAAAACCTTGCTCCGTGTTTTCACTATTAACAATCAATAACCCCATTGAAAACATGTAGGAGAAAATAAGAAGCTCTATGTAGTATCTTCATAGCCCTTACATGTTGTTAGGTATATTTTTGAGGAGGTGCATGTCCGCTCCTGTAGCTTCTGCAACACCCTGAACCAGAAATATGGTACTGTTTTAAGATGCACATACCTAAGTGATGCAAATAGGTATATTTTCTGAGATCATACTTACTTTACCAATGTGAATGTTTTAATATGCATAGCATACACATACTGTATATGTATGCACACAGACAAACTGACAAACAAACACAGACACACGCACAGATATAGATATATTACACACACAGTAACACATACCGTTTCCAACCAGCGAGCCATGCAATACTGCAGGCTTTACATTCTGGCAGTATCTCCAGCGCCTGGACTCCTCTGTCAGCAGCGGCTGCATTTACCCTGTTACATTTACAACGGAAACAAAAACATGGCCTTGGGACTTCATGGCAGTATATAACTCAGGAGTGTGTCTCACTGTGTGTGTGTGTGTGTGTGTGTGTGCGTGTGTTTGCCTTCTCTGAATGCATGTTTATAGTTTATGTTTATAGTGTGTGTGTGTATGTGTGAAATTTAAGGAAGAAGACAGAGTGAGAGTTAACTGTTATTTCTAAAAGTTAGTGCAGACTCCTAAGAGCGAGACACGTACACAAACTAGGCCAGGGAATAAGAGGAGATACCAAAAATGGACTAAGAAAACAAGAGAGAAAATGAGCGGCAGAGGTGGAGATTGGCAACATGAACCAGCAGGCAATGAGTACATAATACATATTGCCCTGTTATTAGTCCCCTCAGCCTAAAACATTAGGTTTTAAATACCAAAAAAGCTCACTAATAGAGAATAGTTCACTTATTTGTATCAACAAAGGGAACGTGTTAAATGTACTGGAAATTCTGGGTTATGAGCTTTATGTCCTTTTAAGGTACAAACTGGGCTGCGTGGAACTGTGTAGGGGTGGTGAGGTTTATCAGCTTGTGTTTTAGCTGTTGGACAAAAACTTTCTGCATCTGATTCAAGCCACAAATGTGATTACTGCCGATGTAACAGAATCAAATAAAGACTTGATAATTCATGACTTTACTTTGACGAGACTTTCATGACTTGAAAGATGTGACTTACTCCCCAAGTTCAAACAAGAAGAATTTTGCCAGCAACGCACAGATACTGAGCAGTAGGGGTGGGTGAATAAATCTATTGCGATTCTTAAGCCCCATGAGGCAAATATATATATATATATAGCTATATAAATATAATTCTGAATCGATTTACAAATGACAAAAAAATGTGTGTAATAACATTAGTTAGTAAAGCTTTGTAGAAGGAACAAAAAAGGCAGAACTCAACTGCGAGGCTACATTGCAGCACCATCCACACTACTACGTTTTCGTTTTAAAATTCTGACCTTTTGCTACGTTTACACTTTCCGTCCAGACTAAAATGGCTGTCCCTCTGTCACCCTTCTTTGTTCTTTTTTTTAATAAATAATAAGGCTTAGACTTTTTCCAAGGGCTGCAATCGAAAAGGCCGTGGAGTTTGAAAACTCTGTTGACCCCGTTTTCATTTTTTAGCGCGGACAGGTGAAAATGGAGGACTTTAAAAATGATGACGCAGACGCTCACGTTTGGCTCTCTGATTGGGTAGTGTGGCTAATGTGTTGTTGTTTTTGCATGTCACCGTATTTAGTTGCGGTGACTCCCAGTCTCTTTCCACCTACTGCTTTTGCATTTTAACGATTGTAATAATGAATAGAGGCCTACCCAGCTTTACCGGAACAGTGTTGATCCTTAAATCCTTGTCTTTTGTCTCAATCATCAGGAATGCGGTGGTTCACTTTTACTGTGTGATCGGCAGGCTTAGCTTCTATCTTTCTTTTTTTTTCACGTTAGTTTGAGACAGTTTGACAGCCTGAATAAGAACTTCAAATGTATAATGCACCTGCAAAACTGTCTGCTTCTTTCTGAGATCGCTTTTTCCGACTAATTTGACAATATTTCTCCAAAGAGTGCAGTAATAGACAGTGGCAGCGTGGCAGCGTTGTGATAAAAGTCCGACAGGTCCAATAGTTTGTCGGACTTAGCAACAGTAACTAAGGAGGGCGTGGCTTAGCGTAGGGTCAATTCTGATTCGTGACACCAAGAATCGGAATGCAGCCACTAGATAGACAATGATGAAATGTGAGTGTAACTTGTAGTGCTGGGGTTGTATTACAGAAACTTATACTTAAATATAACTTAAATATAACTTAAATAGCTTAGTTTCCATACCAGTCAGTCAGAACTGAAGAAGTCCTTTGGATGAGGGACAAAACGTCTTATCTTCAACCAAGTCCAGTCGCCCTTGACTTTAACCTTCTTTGGATAACTATGACCTGAATGACTGAGAATCTTCACAGACATCGAGGAGCCACCACCAGTTTTCCTCTGCTCTTTGGACACAACAGTTGCCTTTCTCTTCGTCTCACTTGTAAATGGACACATTTTCATTTTAACAGCGTCAACGCTCCGCTGGAGGCCGGATATGCGGCGGTGACTGTGTCCGCTATTTCAGCCCACTCTCTATCTGTAATCCTCCAGGTGGTTTCATTAAAAAAAAATACCGTAAAACAGCTATTAAAAGCCGTTAAGCTCGCGAGATGAGAAAAGTGCCATGGGTTGCTATAACAGACATAAAAGTTGATAACCAATGTTGGATTGAGTATTTCGGATTTCCTAACCTGTGATAAAATAGGATGAAATAAGATAAGATAGGATTCCTAAAAGTTAGTTAGGATTTGCT